AGGCAAAGCTCTCGATTTACCGGTCAGTCTTCGTTCCTACCCTCACCTATGGTCATGAGCTTTGGGTAATGACCGAAAGGACGAGATCGCGGATACAAGCAGTCGAAATGAGTTTCGAGGGTGAGGAGGGTGAGGAGCTCGGTCACACAGGAGGAGCTCGGAGTAGAGCCGCTGCTCCTCCACGTTGAGAGAAGCAGTTGAGGTGGCTCGGGCATCTGTTCCGGATGCCTCCGGGGTGCCTCCCTCGAGAGGTGTTCCAGGCATGTCCCACTGGCAGGAAGGCCCCGGGGAAGACCCAGGACACGCTAGAGGGGCTAAGTCTCTGGGCTGGCCTGGGAACACCTCGGGGTCCCCCCGGAGGAGCTGGAGGAAGTGTCTGGGGTGGAGGAAGTCTTTGAGTCCCTGCTTAGACTGCTGCCAACGCGACCCGGCCCTGAAGAAGTGGAAGAAAATGGATGGATGGAATGGAGTCCAAATTTGTTTGCCAGTTAGTGAAGTTTTTCCAAATTTTGCATTGAATGCACGCTGCACAGTGTTGGGTGACTGTGTGCGAGCAGATTCCAACCAGAAAAGTTATAGTGCGCCTTTATTGTAACTTCACAAATAAAATTGCAGAGCCCAGTGGGAGCTGACGTTGCCATAAATGTCATCACAACAAAGCTCCGCATGCTGTCAGCCCCTCATATGGAGCTGAAGATCACGCTAGCAAGTGTGAAAAATGACTACATGCTGAATCCCACACGGATCACTGATTAAAGGGCCCATATTGCACTATTTTCTGATCAGCATCATGCCATCATGTTGTTTCCTCATCACAAACATATGCAGGATTGTGTTTTGTTCCATTCACACACGTTTAACACACAAATCCTGCATATTTAGGCTGAGTTTTTCTCTCAAACAATACAGTTCAGTAGAATCATTTGGATGATTTCAGCCCCAGCATATAATAATAATAATAATAATAAATGACTGCTCAAACATTAACTTCTTGGGTAAAGTGTATTTACCTTGTTCACATGTTTTGGTTGCAAGTCATCTTTAGAACTGTCCCAGGTGTTGGTGGTGATGTGTCGTATATCAGCTGTTGTTACTTCCTGTAGGCGTGGTCAGCCTGATGGACCTGTAGGTCACTCAGACTGACCACGCCTCCCATCGCCCGATGTTCTCTGGAGGAGGGTGTCCCGGGTGTGTGAAAGGAGGAACACTCCATCATTACGGTTAATGCTGTCCATGCCTCATTTCCTGATTTCAGTGTCCTCCCTAATCCAACGTTTGAACTTGTTGTTCTCCGATCCAATGACCCGAGCCTCGTCCCGATCCATAATGTGGTTATTTCTTTTACACTGCTCTGATATGGCGGATTTTAGGTTTTCCTATTCTGCTTTGTCTTTTTGTGTTCTGGTGAGTCTCCCTGATGTTTCCTTTTCGCATTCCTTTTGGTTTTCCTTTTTTCGAATGTGAAATGCCCGGGCCAGTTTCTCCTATGTATGATTTATAGCATGATTTGCATTGGGTTTCGTAGATAGCGTTGCATTTTTGTTCTTGTGGGATTTCATCTTTGGAGTGTTCTAGCTGTTGGTGGAGTTTTGTGTATTTGGGATTGCTCAAACATGTGCGCATGAAACAAAACACAACTCCAGGGGCCTCATTTATAAAAACTGCGCAGGAGTTGTCGTAAGTTAGTGCGTACGCCTAGTAGCTACGACAAGGCGTGCGCCACGCAAACTCCATATTTAGAAAACCCACCGCACGCACCAAAACCACGCAATCTTTGCTTTATAAATCCCACCTGCAACTACAATTTGCGCATTAAACCTTGTTTAATAAATAAATACAAAATTAAAAGTGACAACAATGACTCATCTGTTCATTTAATCATATTTTATAATATTTAGGCAGCACATCTTTGCAGTAAAGCCCATGTGTTTTTTCGCTGTTTCAAGAGTTTTATCGCTATATTTTTAAGTCTGTCTATGATGTGTGTGTGGACTGGCCCTGTATTTATGCATATACACGTAGATACGTGCACGCGCTGATCTGAATGGTCAAATTATGAGCGCGTGCGAGAGATTCAGATGCCCTCCCCTGGAGAGGGAAAGGAGCGAGGGAGGGACACGAGGATACGAGGACACAGATTTAGCATGAAACACATCAGATACAGATGTTATTCTGCCAATTAAAATCCACACGAAACATCCAAACTGCTGAACCTGTGAGTGTGGGTCTGGGTCTGTGAGTGTGGGTCTGACCTCTGTGAGTGTGGGTCTGGGTCTCTCTGTGAGTGTGGGTCTGGGTCGGGACGGGCACGGGCATTATTCTGTTCTTTATACAGTCAGAGAGCAGCTCTCATGTACAAGAGTTCCCCATTACACAAAAATGTAGGGAAGATTTTGGTTCGTCCAAGGGAAGAGTTTTTCTCTCAGGTTGGGTCATTATTTCGTCCTCTGTGTTAGTCACAGTCTGAGTTCTATAGAAGTCTATGGTCGCGGTGTGGACTATGGGACTCTGCGCTACACCGAGTCCGGGAATGTGGAGAATAATGAGTGGAATAAACAGCCCTTCTCCGTATTTTGGCGAACCAAACACTTAATTGCGCAAATCAGAAGGTAATTCTTCTATATACGTGGATTTTCTGATCAAACACTTCCTCAAACTCTGTTCACTTCTGCCTCTCTCCACGAGTGTCGCTTTTTCCCCGTGTCTCCAGACTTTGCGTAGAACTTACAGGAGGTCCCGAGTTGGCGTAGAGTTAAGCAAAGAGCCACGCCTTAGGCAAGTTTTATAAATACCGCGGTTGGCATAGGAAGCGCGCACGCACGGATTTTTGCGTAAGCAAGATTTATAAATGAGGCCCCAGGGCTGTTTTTGAGTAGGTAACAACATTATATCATGCCTTAAAGTTCACAAGAGTCCATTTTACGTAATATGGGACCTTTAAGAAAATGAAACTGGAGAATTGTATCTTAAATACACAAGAATAAAGACGCACGAATCACTTTAAATACAATTGGAAATGGTAAACGAGAAGGGGAAACAGCTATAACGATTCAAAGCTGCGAGATGTAGATTTTGCATAACAGGTCTCATTTAACAAGTGCCAGTACAATGCTGCGTTGTTTTGGCAGTATACCTGACATCTGTTATCTAGACTGCAGTGTCAGGAGCTGCTACACAGGCATCATTTGATTGTAGATGTAGGGAGTCATTTGTCAGTACAGCGGAGAAGCCGGGGGAAAGGGTTCATTAAGATCTCCGCTGTTGTAAACATCTTAAAATAAATGCAAGCTGAAAATGTGTCAAAATTATAGCACGGAGCTTTTTAACATTTTTATAATGAGTAGTAAAAACATGGTGGATTTTAGATGCAGCTCAGACGTCCAATTTAAATATTTCCAATAGATTTTGCCTTAGGAATAAATATATATAGTTGCTATGAAATCGTTCCTTGATTTTTGTATCTTAAAGGTGCATTCTGTAACTTTTCTGGTGGAGAGGGTCCATCGCCTGCTTTTTTATGACATAGCTCTGCCTGGAATGTTCCACAGTGTGACATTAAGCAGATATACCTTACATTTATTCAGTTACAGGTGTTCTGACTGTGAGCGGAATCGCCTCTCCACAGATCTGACCGGTAACTTGGTCTAGTTTGGTCTCCATGAAGATAGAAATGTTTAATGCCATACTGTGAAACATTACAGACAAAGCAACAACATCTCCACAGAAGAAAAACATTTAACAGACCCTACACTAGAAAAGTTACACAACGCTAGCCAGTCTGGTGCCACCTAGTGCCTCCTCTCAATTTCATTTCTCTCTAGCGACTAGGTCAGGAATCAGAATACACTAGACGGTTAGCAAGAACCCCGGAACTTGTAGACCACGCACCGACCAATCAGCGAAGAGCTGTGAAGCCATGACATCAAACTCGTCGCTCCTGTCTGGGTCCCTTTTGTGGTACAGCACAACAGTAAACAAAGCGGTCGAGATGTAGACGAAGACACACATTCTGTGTTGGCAATGATTCCCGAGATCGAGGATTTAAAGCCGGAACAAGGAGAATGTCTGGTGAATTTTATCAAGGGGAAAGACGTTATTGCCCTTCTTCCTACAGGATTTGGTACATTACATACATCACGACCAAATAGCAGCGACTGGTTAAATAAAAAAGTACCTGCCTACTGTTGAGTGAACGAATCCTAATGTTGCGAGGTCAGACGGTTTCCACAAAATGAACCCAGCTGATGAATCAGGCTAACACATGCACCTTTAAAGGGCCTGTCTATATTACGCAATTTTCTGATCTGTTATAATGTTGTTTCCTCATCACAAACAGACCTGGAGTTGTGTTTTGTTTCATTTACACATTTTTAACACACAAATCCTGCATATTTAGGCTGATTTCTTCTCTCAAACTGAAACCACTCAACATGTGGTAATATAGGAAGCGCTCCACTGTGTTTTTAAAGTCCATACACCTTCACTAGAATCATGTGGATCATTTCGAACCTGGGAATTGTAAATCTATACTCTATGAAATCTATAAAAGATAAGAGATAGCTTTTAACGTGAAAACTACCGCCGCCGAATGTCACAAGGTGGAACAGAGCATTTTGAGCTTTGGAGAAGTAGACAAACTTAATAATAAAGGATTACAGAGACATGACATCACTCAACTTCAAGTATGTTTTTGATGGGGTAACATTATAACGTGGCTAAAAGCTCACAAAAGTCAATGTTGCGTGGTATGGGACCTATTTTACGCAAGACTTCCGAAAGAACATATTTCTAAACGAAATCACCAAAAGAAAAAATGATTATCCCAGTCGTATAAAATAACAAATTTCAAGGTCATTATTTTACTTTGAGCCAAACGAAGCCTGACTCAAACCGTCCCACGTGCGCACTATGACACTACTAATTAACGCGAGTGCATAATTAGACTTTATGAGCAGTGATATTTCCTCCAAATGTCAAACGAACCTCAGAGTGCGACCTACCAGCGCCATGCTCTGTAAGGCATTCACACTCTGCTCCTGATGCTTCTCTGTCCAGCCGACCGCCAGCGCCCCGTCGGCCTGGAGACACAAACACGAGGAGATAAATAAATAAATACAGGTTCAAACTGGGTGAGCTCCGGGCGAGAGGGGGACGACGCGTTGGGTTTGTTTAATTTGGACGGGGCTCGGGCGACAGTGCCTCAGAGGACTGTATAATGAAATGAGAGCTGCACATTCACAGGATACAGGCGGAATTTAAGGGACTTTTGGGGACAGAGAGGAAGCCGTTTTAAAACAGTTATTTCAATGTGCAATAAACTGAAAGTGTGGACAGATGGGGACATTTAGTCAATAATGATAATGTGTGTTAGGAATACAAAAATCCAGGTATTTGTGTTCCGATGCCGATACTTTGGTCTATACCTCAACAAATACTAGGGTAGAGAAAACAGCATATGGTAAAAATACTTCTAAGGTGCTTTGTAACTGCAAAACAGCTCTGAAAAAATACACATTAACATTATGGGACATTTAGAACCGACATTAGGCAGGAAATTCTTATTAAAGGGACAGAGTGTTGGAGACGTGTGGAGACACTTTTTAAAATATTCCATCCATTCCATCAGAAATCATATTTCATGTTGTTCCAGAAACAAATCTGTCCTTTTTCTGTTAATGATATAAATTTGACATTTACCGATTCATCACCAATTATAGCAGTTAAATATCTTGGTTTATGGCTTGACCCGTCACTCTCATTCAGCGCCCACATACAAACTATTACAAACAAAATTTCATATCGCTTAAAATTACTTTATCGGTCCATCAGTTGTTTTAGCTTTTCTGTTAGGAAAAAGATTATCTCACAACTAATTCTTCCCATTTTAGATGACTGCGATATCATTTATCAAAATACTACAACTTCTATTCTCCAACCACTCAATGTTATCTATAACAGTCTGTGCAGATTCATTCTCCTCTGTCCCTTCAGAACTCACCCCTGTGTGATGTATCACCAACTGTCCTTCTCACTCTGTCCTCCTGACATCAACTTCACTGTTTATTATTTATCTTTAAATGCATTCATCTCAGTTATCCTGAATATCTCAAACAGTATTTAATTCCATTGTGGTCCTCTTATAGTTTACGTCAGGCTGATCAGATATTTTTTGTTGTCCCAAGAGTCAAAAAGCAAATAGGAAAACACTCATTTAAATATAAAGCTCCTTCTGATTGGAACAATCTTCTTTCATCGATTTGTGCTTTAACTTCTGTCCCTTCATTTAAAAATGCTCTGGTTCAATATTTACAGAACCCGTGTAATTGTTTTTGATTATTTAGTTGTATTCTGTGATTATCTTTGAACTCTGTTTTATTTTTATTTATTTATTATTATTATTATTATTTTTTTCTTTCTTTCAAATTTGTTTTATTATGTGTCAAACAGTCAAGCATGAGTGAGTGTGCGACTGTGTGTGTTTGTGGTTGTGTTGATTTTGTTGTTTTGATGCTTATTTGAATTTATGTATTCTACTGTCTGCCCTACTGTATCTGTCTTTTGTCGTTGTATTTATGAGGACCCCCTCGAAAATGAGATGGCGAGACATCTCAAGGGGCTTATCCTCCAAACAAATAAATTCAAATTCCATCCAGTCCTTGTATTTGCAGAGATCGCTGGTGCTAGGCTAGTGCATGTCAATGGCCATAGTTAGCCTGACGCTAAAAACAGTCTTACCAACTCCACAAAACACCCGAAACAAATCTATTATTACACCAGACTGTTGATGTAAATGTCTGTGTCAAAAGAATAATTTTAGAAGTAAAATGAACCTTGAATTTATGTCTGAGCAGCAGCAGTGAGTTGTACTTCCTGATAGAAAGCTCGGCAGCGGCGGACTGATATATGAGAAAATAGTCCCTCAGCATGCGACGATTCATACGATGCAAGGTTAGTTTTATTTCAAACATTCTATCAACACAGACATTTACATCGACAGTTTTCATATAATAATAGATTTGCTTCAGGTGTTTTGTGGAGTGGGTAAAACTGTTTTTAGTGGCAGGATAACTATGGCCATTGACATGTGCTAGCCTAGCACCAGCAACCTCTGCAAACGAAAGCTTTCAGAAATATTCATGTGCATAGGGTAGAAATCTGTGCATATCTGGCTGTAGATGAGCATAAAATAAATATTCATAAACTCTCGAATGAGTCCAGTCATACATAAAATGTATTGTGTGTATTTTATCCATCAGAATACAAATTGAAAAGTTACAACATCAAGAAGAAGAAACATCGACCTGGTTTAAACATGGTTTAGTCCTGGTTCAGTCCTTATTTAGTCCCCTTGGTTCTATCATGGTTTAGTCCTGGTTCAGTCCCTGTGCAGCACAAAAGTCCGGCATTTCAATTATGTTTCTTCTGCTCAGTAAATAATGCCTGTGAAGTGATGACGTATTTTTGACAGTCGAGTCATGTCTGTGAATTTGTATTCGTTCTGAAGAAAGCGTAATAATACATTTTCACTTCATGACTGTATTTCTTGATGTTGTAACTTTTCAATTCATATTCTGAAGGATAAAATACACACAATACATTTTATGTACGACTAGAATCATTCGAGAGTTTATGAATATTTATTTTATGCTCAATTACAGTCAAATATGCACAGATTTTTATCCTGTGCACATGAACATTTCTGAAAGCTTTCGTACTCCATAAACGAGGATCTTCTTAAACAAATCTTGAACTAAATCTGAAGATGATAAAACAAGTCAAACGTATCATTTCCTCTTTACACTTTGTGACCATCTCTGTCTCCTCTGTGTTTGATCTCATATGTCATAAAACACCCTCATTGTCTTCTATTAACTGCTACTGGCACCCATCCATTAAACCCCGGCGCGAAATCATAACAAAGGTCCCTCTCTGACTAACAAAGTAACTGCCAATTAAGCACAATTAGCTGCTTATAGGGGGCCGTAATTTTCCCGCCACTATACGCCGAGTCTGCATGGGCAATTAGCATGCTTTAACACTGATGCCGCTGGCCTAAAATAGCCTCGCGGAGCCGCTGATCAGCGCAAGATGAATGCTGGGGTGGCTTTCGGACTGCTAGAGGGCTTAAATGGGTCAGTGCCTTGAGCTGTAGCAAAGTGGAGTGATCGAGATTTATTTAGTGGACAGAGGAGGTGGAGGAGGGGTCAGGAGGAGCGGTGGATTGGCTGTCCACTAGCAGCAAGAGCTAAGGGGGAAAATGTGGCCTTTAAAATGTTGTTGTATAGTGATGCAAAAAGTGACCGCAATGGAGTCATTTTCTGATGTATTTGAGCCACATTTTCCTCGCCCCACTACAGATATGTTCTAGAAGTGGCTCTTGAAGTCAAAATAAGTCAGCTGTGTCCTGTTTATATCTAATTCTAATCTGTCTGTTAGATCATCAGGAAGTGCGGGTTGGCATGCTAGTTACTGTCAGCATTAGAGTGATGACAAAACTCCACTACGAATCTATAAGATAAGTGAGGAATAACTTTCGACTATTGCAAACTGTTTGAAATGAACTACAGTCGTCCCTCACCAACGTCGGGCAAGTTACTTTAAAACTGTAATGCATTATTTATGACTTGTTACTGTCGTTTCAAAGTAATTTGTTACATTACAATATTACTGCATTTAAAATGTAAAACATTACACAACTACTGCAGCACTTTAAAGTTACTCTCACCAAAATAACTGCGAAGATGCCGAACTTTTGAGCCATATATGGACTGAACCAGGACTGAACCAGGAGAACTGAACCAGGATTAAACCAGATCTAAACCAGGTCTAAACCAGGACTAAACAAGAGCTGAACCATGACCGAATCAGGAGGACTGAACCAGGTCTAAACCAGAACTGAACCAGGTCTAAACCAGTACTAAACCAGGACTAAACCAGGTCTAAATCAGGTCTAAACCAGGACTAAACCAGAACTAAACCAGGTATAAACCAGGACTAAACCAGCTCTAAACCAGGTCTAAACCAGGACCAATCTTGGACTTGGAATCTAGAACCGCCCCTGAGAGAACCCTGAGCCCGTGGAGCATGGTGTCCGCAAAGTGCGATAGGGCGTTGGCTGCAATTAGCCCCTTGGAGCGTGGAGTTCTGTGTTGATCCTTTCGCCCACGGTTACCCGACATCCGGAACCATAACGATGGCGTTTCACTGCTGCTGATATCGTGGCCCAGGTTAAAAAAGCATTGTAATGCGCATTACTGACATTTGTGCCAAGTAAATATTAGTTTTTTCCCTGTAATGTCTTACATTACTGCGTTACAGCAAAAAGCAATGCATTACAGTAATTAGTTACTTTTATAACGCGTACATATACTATAACTATAACGAGGTTCACCTTTCGCAGCCTCACAGTTTCACTGATTTTTTTTTCTTTTTGTCTCCTGTACAGTACAGAATGTGTTCATCTGCCAAATGTATGTAAATGTTGGATCTCTAGCAGTGTGATTATGAAGTGCTGTATATTTGCGAGTTTTCTCCCTGACAAAACCCACAATGTCGATGTAACGTTCTGCACCAAAAATCAGAAGAAGATGCAAACCATCGCATAAAAAGATGGACGTCTGGGCATGCTGAAGGAAGGTAGAAGTTACGCGGCTGTATGGCGCCATTACGGAATAAATTAATTTCCTTTCGTTACATAAAGAAGGAGGAAAATAACATAAGGACGAGAGCAGCAATAAGTTTTAAGAAGGATGCAAAAAGGGTTGTAACTGTCCTATCTGAGAAAAGTGTATAAAGTGTGTGCTGAGGGATTTTACAGCCTTGAAACAGATATAATAATTGTAAAAAATAAAACTGACTACTTCGCAGATTTGTTATTTTTAGAATGTAATCCATGAGATAAATGAGGGACCACTGTAGTTTTGTTTTAAAGACAGTAAAAATCAGGTACAGCACCTTTAATATCCAGTGTTCGTCATAAATACATAGTAATGCCTCAATGTAATTAACATTCACAATCAATACCTTATTGATTCAGACATCAGTAACACTTAAAGTCTATTCATACTTCGCAAGAACA